CGTTAGCTGGAGAGGCACCAGCACCTCCTGACCCCAATAGGGACAAGGGTGTACAGAAGATGGATGGATGGATGGATGGATGGATGGATGGATGGATGGATGGATGGATGGATGGATGGATGGATGGATGGATGGATGGATGGATGCAGAAAAAAACAGAAAATAATTACAAATGTCCACTACAGAGGACAATTTTTCAACTTTTAAATACTACGATAAAGTACAGTCAAAATAATTCATAGAATGTTTTAATATGCTGCTAAGAGACTTATTTAGAATCTGCCAACAAAATGTTAAACCAAAATTTGCAAAATAAAACTTTTTATGCACTTACTTTGTCTCTCCCCATAAAATGTGCTTGTACTGATGAACGTCATTTTTATGAATTAGATAAAGGTACGTACAAAAGTCCCACCCCTTCACACATGGTATCATTGAAAAGCCTTAAGTGTCCTCTCTAGATACCAAAAGGAATTAATTCAGTAGCATGCAGGGGGTGGGAGATATTCAAGGTTAGAAATGTCCTCTACAGAGGACAAAAATGAACTACTGGTAGTCAGGAGGATAACACAGAAAACAATTGAGATGCTCCTGTGCCTCACATGACTTTTTTCTAGGTATGAACATTGCTGACTGTGGTATTCTCTGATTATTTTTTTAACAGGAGCGGCTATGAAGCTGCAGCGAAGCATTTCTCTCCGGCCGACCTGGATGTAAACCTGAGCGACAGGTGCTTTATGGTCACAGGCGCCAACAGCGGGATAGGGAAAGCTACAGCACAGGAAATTGCCAAAAGAGGTGAGCGTTTTATCGGGTTTGTCTTCCCACCCCCCCTCTCTGTGGATGCTCCACAACGAAGTGCAAATCGATTTTAAAAAACAAAACAGTTTGGTGTGGAAATTACTACTGTAAAAATGAGACTTGAATGCAGCGACTGCTGTGCTGTACACCCAGTGTGACGTCACCTCTGTTCCCCAGGCTGGAAGCAAATCATTTGAAAGTTCCTGTTTATAGTTATCAAGGGAAACAAATTGCAGCAACACACATCTCTTACTTATATGCATAAGTTACAATTTTATTTTGTTAAATAAGTAAATTTTGCATAAAAGTCTTTGTTATAATCGAGGCCTTGTCCGAAGTAATGTACTAATGAGGATTTGAATTGATCCTGCAGGGGGAACTGTTCACATGGTTTGTCGAAACAAGGAAAGGGCAGAGACGGCCAAAGGAGAGATTGTGGCACAGAGTAAAAATGAGGTAATTTTAGTGTCTTTTTCTCGACTGTGAACACGACATCGTTAGAAAAAAAAAGGCCCAGATGCAAGCCAGTCCACACCTTTCTGTTAATTTGTAACTTCGAAATGTTTTTTCCATCAGAGCACCTCTGGACCCAGCTGTATGGGGCCCATATGCATTCAGTGACCTGCTCTTTGGCTCTATAAAATCCTGTCACCCAATAGGAGAAAAGGCCGTCGCCGGCAACAGTAAAGAAGCTTGGGTGGAAATATGTTGAGCAGAAAATCTTTTATTGATACAGAGAGAAATGTGGGAAAAATACTTAACTGTGCCCCCTATCGGGTGACAGATCTGGGAACTGATTTTACACAGAAGTTATTCCAGCTCAGTCAGTTGTAAAGTGACAAAATGCAAAAAAGAAGAAAAATATTACTAATCAAACAATGAATTTCTGACCCTTTAAGAATGGAATTGTTGCAGAAATAAGTCGCACATAATATCATTATATCTGAGGGAAGTGAAGACATAAAAAAAACAATTGCTTCCCTTGTCTTTGAAGAACGTCCACGTCCACATCGTGGACATGTCGAGCGCCAGGCAGGTGTGGGAGTTTGCGCAGAGCTTCTCTCAAAACAACAAGCTGCACGTGCTGGTAGGTGTTTGCGGATCTATGTGACCTTCTGCTCTGCGAGTCGCTCCCGCCGTTTTGTCATCGCTTTCTTCTTACGGTCTTTGTCTTAGATCAATAACGCGGGCTGCATGGTCAACCAGAGGGAGCTGACGGAGGAGGGCTTGGAAAAGAACTTTGCCACAAACACGCTTGGTGAGTAAACGAAGCACTTCTTCCTTTTGAGTAAGTCCTTGAAGTCACAGAACAAAGGAAGGTGTTAGAACATGTGTAAATGCTTCAACAGTATGTTGTTACAACTGTTAAAAGCAACCTTTCCCTTTCTTTTCATCTTTACTTCCAGGTACCTACATCCTCACCACTGCACTGATTCCCACACTGAAGAAGGTGGAAGACCCGAGAGTGGTGGGTTCAGTTCTGATAAGACAAATGCGTCATTCGCCAAACGATTGGGCCGGATCAGAAAGGGCGGCGTTTTGAAACGACGGCTGCTGTGTCTCTCCTCAGATCACCGTGTCATCGGGCGGTATGCTCACTCAGAAGCTCAACGTGGACGACCTCCAGTTTGAGAAGGGCACGTTCGACGGCACCATGGCGTACGCTCAGAATAAGGTAAGAATGTCCGCACTGATTTCTACAGAAGTAACCCAAGGTGTACTTAAAAAGTCTGAAATTTGTGCATCCAAACTCCAGGCCTCAAAATGTCTTTAAAACAAAAAGTTTTTAATTTGGCCTTTTTTGGTCATGACATTTTTGTTGTGACAGGACTCTTTAGTCTTGTATGTTTGTTTTTGAGTTTATTATTCTCGCCTGACTGTTCTGTCTGGCTAAAAGTTGACAACAAGCATTCTTTGATTCCAGGCTGTTGAGGCTACGGCTAACTAGCTGCTGATATACCCTTGCTAGGTTGCAAGCTAGCTTTTCTGCCTCTATTATGGTTACAAGCATATTTATCATCATCTGGCTGGACGACTTTTGTTCCCGCCACTACTTCTGTTGCCAACCCATACAAGACTAAGGAGCATTCTGCTCAAAAAAATATATACATTAAGCTTCATACTGCAGGTTTTTTGCTACCCTAATACAGCAGGATCCCCAAACCATCCCCTATCCATTTAGTTTTTGGTCTTAAATTTTATTCCAGGTGGCATTAAAAAGGTCTTAAAACCTCTTTGATTGGACTTGCTGATACCCTGAAGCCACACTCACACGTTGGTACTTCTTACTGTGTTTCAGAGACAACAGGTGATCCTCACAGAGAGGTGGGCTTCTCAGCACAAAGAGATCCACTTCTCCTCGATGCACCCCGGCTGGGCCGACACGCCGGGTAAAGCGCCACCACTACGTCTTTATCGCCACTCAAATCCTTTAGACTGCTTCGTGTTTAGCTTGTAGAGGAATTTCACAGATAGATTCTTGTCAATCAACAAGAAAACAAACATTTTCCACAGTCGGCTTGTGACAGAGGCTTTGGTTTTGTGTTTCCTCGTGTAGCCGTGCAGTCCTCCATGCCGTCGTTTCACGCCAAGATGCAGTCCAAGCTGAGGACGGAGGCCATGGGGGCAGATACGGTGGTGTGGCTCGCCGCGTCGCCTGCCGCCGTCAAGCTGCCAAGCGGGCAGTTCTTTCAAGGTGAGAAATTCCTCGTTATTTCCAAATCAGTTGTGGTCGATTCACAAGTGTGAATCCTTGCTTCTGCACATTTGATTGAAATAATCTGTAGAAGGGCGTCCAACCAGCCTTAAATTCAAGGTTTTAAAAGGACTTGAATTCATTTTATAAAATGTACGTTGGCCTTTAATATGTTTACAACAGGTCTTAAATGTTGTTGTGGCGTGACCATTTAATCTCATATACTCCATGTCGTTTATTTTTCTGCCAGGCAAACATTTGAGTTAGACGCAGACGTCTTCATTCTGTGACTTGAGGCGGCTGAGGCTACCGCTAACTTGCTAGCTAGCTTTTCTTGCGTCCATCACGAGAAAATGTAAATTTAACAGACATTCGTCTTTGCCACTACTGGTGCCAACCCGTACGATGTGTACAACGCATTCTGTTCGAAAAAGCTTGGCTCTTCTACTGTATAAAATAAGAAATTTTCTTTTGATAAAAGTCTTAAATTTCATCCAAGTGGCACGAAGGAAAAACATTCTGAAAGCTAGAAGTAGACATGCATTAAAAGTCATGTTTTTAGTCTTGTAAAATATGGCAATGGGAATTTATTTTAGGATTAATTATACTTTTTAGGATTAGCAAAAATTTGAGGTTGAAATAAGGATTTAAATGTGCAGCATTCCTCTTCATCACATTAGTGGGAACCGTCTCTGACGCAGCTCTGTTCATTCTGGTTCTTGTAATCATCTTCCTCACGGTGACACATTCCTGCTACTCTGTGTCTCTTCTTCAGATCGTAAGCCGGTGGCGACCCACCTCCCCCTGGCCTCGTCCCGCTCCTCTCCGCAAGAGGAGGAGAAACTCCTGACAGCGCTGGAGGAGTTTGCCCAAAAGTTCAAACCTTAATATCTGGAAAACTGGCTGCTTTTCAAAATAAAAGCACTCCAATGACACTACCTAACCGTTTACAAAAACCTAATGAGACACGTTTGGCTGAAATAACAAGAGTCAAGCTTTGAAATGCTTTATTGAGGTTTGATCTAAAAATGTTTTTGTGAGGAATTACTTGGTTTTGTTGTAGTTTTTCAAAGCTTTTTCTCTACGAGACGTGAAGGTTTAAATCAAGAGCGCTTAATATGCTGTTAAACATTAACTTAATGAAGCGAATGTGAAAAACTCTGACTTGTGTATGCACACATAATGTTTTTAATGAATTTTGCTAAATGTTTTACTTAATTCAATAAAAGTGATTTGTTTTGTGTGTGTGTATATATATATATATATATATATATATTTTTTTTTTTTTTACCACAGTGAAAGACGGCTTACTTGACAGTTAATGACAAAACTTTCACAAGAACTGGAAAACACACACACCCAAAAAAAACAATAAAATAGCTTCATAGGGATGTTTCCTAGCATATTACTGGAAAGTTAAGTGGAAGAAAAAACTGTGAAACAACAGAAATAACTGCAGCTTTCTATATCGGTTGCCAAATACACAACTTGGACATGACGGCTGAGGGTAAATACCTTTTGTTTTAATCAATCGTCTATACACAGTGTTACATTCACGAAAACTCTGAAATTCAACCATTCCCCACCCCCTCTGTCCTGCAACAAAAAGTCAAAGAACTGGCCTTAAATAAACTTTATCAACTTTGGAATTTAAAAGCAACCAAAACCAAGCAGAAGTTTTAATGTAGCTCAGTTTCTCCTGTGTGGTTAAGTTTGCGAAATAGAAGATCCATTCTGTTAGCTCTGTATATTTTACACCAGTTTGCATCGTTAATAATCACACTTTGTTTAATTTAGCTTGCAGGTGTGCATTAGTTCACAGGAAGTGGTCGAGGAAATGAACTAAAAACACGAGAAATGTTAACGGACCTTGTTTTCAGATCCATAATTGATAATCTTTGGAAGAAGCTCGGAGGGATTCGAGCTGAGCGTCGAGCGGTCGTCACAAAATCACGTAAAACATTTAGGAGAAATCTATGATTTTCTGCCTCGTGATTCCAGTGCATCAACAGTAAAGCCAACATACAAAGCTGGAAAAACAATTTAAACCGTTTTGTAGCAACGTTTTTACGCTCTGGTGCATCTCTGAAGTGCCAAAGCGTCTAGCTGTGTTGATATGTGCTTCTGTACATGTTTCATACATGAAACAAACATTCAGAATAAATAACCTCGATAACGACACACACGATGTTGTTACACAGACAGCATGGTCCGAGTCACCGATCGCTCAGTAGGAGGCTCATCGGTGTCCGCCGTCATCGCCATAACGACTGGAGCTTAAACTGGTTTTAAATCCAGAACCAAACGGGTTCCGTGGAGCTTCCTGTGCATTTCTGAAATGGACGATGCTGCACTCATGCAACACAAACAAACCATCATTCTGGCAGCTGCACTTTAACATCGAATTTTAACATCAGGGGAAAGTGGATCAAATTTGTTGCCTTGGTTTAAGAAGTTGGGCTGGACTTATTCCTGTTTTGTTTTTTGTTTTTTTTACAGAATTACTCAAGCAGAGCTAAACTATGATTAAGCACCATGCGAGAAAATAAAGGTTCCCACAATGCATCAGGCCATCTGGCAGTGATGTCATCTGGTTTGTGACACAAAGCATAATTTTACTTAATTTCACTTCCATTTAAAAAAAAAAAAAGCCTGCTTGAGGAACGATGAGGCGATTCTATTTATTTTGTAGGGAGTGAAGACCTATCGCTACGTTAACTGAGATTACATGATGGCTCTCTGCTCAGGGCGGCATGACAGGGGGGGACGGTGTAAATGTTCAAAAACAAGAAAAAGAAAAGGTTGCGTCCTGTTAATGGGCGCCCTCTGTGTTATGAAACATGTAAGAAAATAATTCTAACGAATTACTCCAAAATTAAAGGGCTTTTCTTTTAAGGAATCTGGACTGCATTTAATCTTCACTACCTCTAAAATAATTAAACTTGAATTGAAATACTCAACACCAAACAGAGATGATTTAAAGAGCGCACAGGATTCAAAAGAACCGCCACCAATTAAAGTAAACATAATTAGCACTGTGTGTAGACTATGACCCGACTGAATGAACTGTTCAGTAGTTAAGAGTCACTGAAACTAGGATAACTGGAAGAAACTGTTCATGCAACAACCATTTTCACCAGATTATTTCACAAAATTAACTCAAAGAGGCTGGATTAAAGGGACCAGCTGGCCTAAAGCTACTTCCTTTATCACTTCCAAACCTGCATCAGCTGATATTTATGGACTCAAAGTCAATTACTGCTCAGAAGAAACCAAAACATTCGTCATCCTCAGAATTTGGTAGGGTTAAAAAAAAAAACATGCTGCTGTAGTTTATTACAGCTACTTTGAGTTATGCTTTGGTTAATGTTTCAGACATGTTGTTGGAGCTCAACTGTCTGAAATATAACATTCAAAGTGTTACAGGAAATGCTGATCGAGGGTAAAAATAATTCAATAAAAAAGCAGGTTGAAAAATCTTTTAGAGCAGACAGTAATTATGAATTTCCAGGTAGCTGTTTATGACCTTCGTGAATACAATATGAACTTTTACTAGTCAAAAAAAAAATAATAATGATGTAACAGGAACAAAACAAATTTAGCCTCTAGAGGGAGTCATAATAATCCAGGCCTGAATTCCTCCTGATGGTAATTTTGTTTAGATAATAACAAAAATAAAAAAAAAATCGTATTGATGTGAAAACTGCGATTACGTCGATGATTTAGAGTCCAAAAAACGAGTCTGATGACTTTTAGCTCCTCCAATCTTCAGTGCGAAGGAAATTTATAAAAAGTACATAAGATATTAAATTTCTTACAAGGTCAAATGCCAGACAGAATCCCAGAGTGCAAGCGCGATCACTCCAGACATCAAGCAAAGACCAACCAGTCTGTGACCTCGTGTTGAGCAAGACGTTGCACCGTCCTCAGGCTGCTCTGGGGCCGGCCGTGTCGCCGCTGTGAGAGAACGCAGCAACCCAGGCTTTGTTGCTAAATATTATCCATGTGACACGGACGCAGCTCCCTCGCTCTCATCGAAGTGCGACTGGTCACAGTTGGCCGAAATGCTGCCCCTTGTCCACGGAAACTCATGACACCACAGGAGTCATGTCCCATATCTGCAAAAAAAAAAAAAAAAAAAAAAA